GATTACTTTAAGGCAAAGTGGATCTATAATTCCTGACACTGACTGAAAGTGACTGGGAATGAAACATAAATTCTTGTTGACTTAATTCATTATTGAAATTTTAGTCAATAATAATGATAAGTAAATTATTGTGTAGTGCAATATTAGAAGTCTAACAAAAGATTAAAATTCAGATTATCTTCATTGACTGAGCTAGGACAGTACCTCAAATAGAAATCTATGAGTAGATTAACATGTTAAACAGTCAGTTTGGGGTGTTGAGGTTTGTTGTTTTCTTTCTTCATGGATTTGAGGGGAGAATGGTCTAGCAGGTTTCTTGGTTTCTTTGCTGTGTATCACAGCTGCTATTTCTAGCCAGCTAACAATTTCTGTACATAAAACAGACAATAGATTATCATATTACTTGAGCTTTCATGTCAAAACCACATTCATTTTCTGAATCACATTCAATTCATCAACCAGTATTTGCTCAAGGGCTTTTTCCAGCTACAATGTATCATTTTAATATAGTGTTGAACATTGGTTTTATTCTAGAGGTCAAATTATTATTATCTTGTTATTGTTATGGTTATCATTTTGTAGTTGGAATAAATTATTTTGTTGGTTCACATGCCAGGTGCTGTTACATTGTTTGCAAAGGTTGCCTGTGTGTCTCCACCTCTTAAAAAGATGCTTAATGTTAAACACATAAGTAGTCATATTGATGTCAAAGGAACAAACCCCATGCATAAAACTTTCCAGCACTTTGCTGATTCAGAACCTCTATGACCTCTCAAATGAAGACTGACTCAAATTAGCATTTAAATTGGATGCAATTTGTACTAATGCACTGGAGATTGTCCTCCAAAGCAGGAGATTTCTGCCACCATTGAAAAAGCAGAGGTAGCTCTTCTGTTCTCACTGCCTCTCCCCTTTTGACTTAGCTCCTAGGACATAGAACTACAGAACATATTTGATGGTAGAGCTTGGATTAACCAAGAGTCTTGAAATGCAGCTGACTCTTTTCTGTGTCCCAGGAGCAGTGGTAGCTCGGTGAAGAAGGTGGCAAAGAAAAGAGAAGAGAAGCTGTTCCCTCCTCCATTATCTCCCCTCTTGGATGAGCCTGTGCACCGGCGGCACAGCGGTGACAACAGCTCCTTCAGCCAAGAGACAAACATCACAAACACCTCTCAGACCAGCAGCTCTTCCTCCTCTGTTTCTAAACACAGAAAGAATGAAAATAAATCTTCTACTAACCCCAAAGGAATCTGTGTAAGTAATAAGCCTCAGTTGTTGGAAGTGAACAAGATAAAATTTACTTAGCTTAGTTCTGTTTGATTTTTTTTTCCTCAGTGTCTACTTTTAAATGCTTATGTAGCCCCACTTAAGAGCAGAAAGGAGTGGATCTTTGCAGAGCTGGGCACACACAACTCTTGCAAGTTCCATTTTTAGGTCAGCATTAGACATATACTTTACACTGTGTATCACTCCCTGAAACACCCAGTCCCTCAGCCTTAGATGGGAGCCTTTGCAGCCACCAATTAACTGCAGTTCGTCTTAACTGTGTGGACAGAACACACACATTTTGAAAATAAAACTTCAATAAATTTATTATGCATCACCTGAATAATTGCCCCAAAGCTCTGTAGTTATGCTGCATATTGCAGCCTAAACTAAACAGACAATAAGAATCTAACAAAAAGGTACCTGTCCTTAGCATACCCCACATAGAAAACCTTCACTCTGTATTGCAGGCTCCCAGATTTCAGCAGTAAGGTTTATTTACACCTAATCTGCATTAATTGCATATATAAGCTTTTACATACCATGTAAATAGGGGGTGTCCACCTAAAAAAAAAAAAAATAAATTAAAAATTCTGTTAAGACCATCTCCTCATCAAATGTTTTCACATAGACAATTCTTGCTTCTTTGCTTTTGACCAGATTCAGATTTTTTTTTTACCGAAAATATATGAAAAACAGCTGGAACTAGAAGCTGCACAGTAAATTCACTAAAAAATTTCACATCACTTGGTCATCCTCTTTTAGGTTAATGAGGGAAATTTCAGGGGTTTGGCCCATTGTAGAAAACAGTCCTTCCACTAGTGTTTCAAACATACCAGACAGTATCAAACTGTATCTTAGCATCACTATCAAAATTAAAAGACAAGAAGAAAATTCTGCTACAGAGAGGGCCATGCACAGCCCCCTTTTTCACAGTTGGCCGCTTTGTGAGAGGTTGTTACTGTGCACTGTAATAGTAAAACTCACAAGTTGCATTGGCTCATAGGTGACAAATCACTTCACCTTATTCATTCATCCCTGTTGCTTTCTGATATCGTTGTGTCACTTCAAGCTGTGAGAGTAATACACACGCCTTCAGTTGAAATCAATGGCAAAATGAACTGCATATGTCAGCAAATAAACAATGCTATGTAAACATGAGGGCCATTTCCTCTCACTCCCAGCATCTCTAGTCAGATTTATTCCTGGTTTATCTATTAACCTGATACATGAAATATATGTCTTATAAAACATGTTAGACTTCTTTCCCT